GGGGGGCGGTCGGCGACGACCTGTGTGGCGGGGGGAGGAGGAGGAAGAGCGCGCGAGCCGGCGTACGTGGCGCGGCCATCGGTTGCCTCGCGCCGCGAGCGAGAAGGTAATAGGCACGCGGGGAGCAGGGAAAGAGAAAAGGACAACGAGAGAGAAGCGTGGATTCCACTGACTCACGCGACGAAAGTGGCTCCCTCCACAAAGCTAACCCACGTTGATTCTCTACAGTGATTTCTGTGTTGTATCCCCAGCAATGTTTCCTTGCTTCTTTTTCAGAGGAGGCCCCCTTTGACCCGTTTTGTCTCCTTCGTTGACCCCCCTCACCTTGTGTAGCGCCCGTGCAAACTTTCATCATGTGCTTCCCGTTCCCAGAACAATCTTGTCACGCATAGTTTTTCCTTTCCGTCGAAGAGCACTTCGCTTTGCGGGAGAAAACCTTGTGTGACTCAGTTCTGGCATAAGTTTTCCTCAGAGAACAAATTTACTGAAGGCAATAATAATTACAGGTTTCTGGCTTGTCAGTCTTGATGCTCTTTCCCTAAAGCATATTTAGGCTGCTTTTCAGCTGAAAAAGCTTCCAGAGTGACTTTCAGATCTGTAATGAACAAGACAGACTTATCGTCGAAAAATCTAATTTTTATATGAAATGCAGGCTTTAGAAATTAATATAGTACTAGTGCTGCATAAACAACTGTACTTTAGATAAAACGTATGGATGTGTTGGTTTGAAGATCCACACATTTCAATATCTATCTTGAGAAGAATTGGGACTGAAATCACATGGAGATGTTAACCAGCGATTGATAATAATTATTTTTCCTGTTACACTATTTTATTAAGTTTATATTCATGCATTTTTGGTAGAAAAAAAATAAATGTGATAGTATTGTATGCACCTCTTCCTGATAAACTGATTCAGTCTATAATTTTAGTTTAGGAATTCTGAAAACGCCATCTGACAGTAACTAGGAAATAAGTTTTTTTTTTTTTATCATTCTTATATTTTGGAACTCCCTTCCTATGGAGATTCAGCCTGTCTCTTCACTCCCTTAAGAAGAGCACTTAAGACTTGGCTTTTCCGTCTAGCCCAGGATGAAGACATGATTTGACTGCTGGAATGAATTGGCAGATACATAACTTCATCTTTTTTTTTTTAATCCCTTATGATGCTGTTGAGCTTTTTAAAATTATTTTGTTCAGTGGGTTTATTTTTATTGAAGGTTTTTTCTTACGATGTTTCTGATAGCTGTTCAAAGTCTATGGGAATGAGTAGCACAAACATATGTTAAATAAATGTAATAACATATATATAAAAAGAAAACTGTACACATGCTAAAGTACTCTAGTTACAGTGTTAATGTGAGTCGAGTTCTGTTGATGAGGCATCTCTTACTACATGTGGAAGTGGTTGAATGAAATGACCCTATCGCTGCTTACATTTTAATGTACGTATCTTATTCTTGCCTCTGGCACAAAATTAATATGTTTACAATTTGTTCTTTAAAATGCAGTTGTCACTACCAAGCTTAGATATGTTGTATTTTATAGCTTGTCGAAGAGTTTGGAGTAGATGACGGTGTGCTAATTGTAATAACCCCATATCTTTATTCATCTGAAGTCGGTGTTAGCTCTTCATCTAGTGTTATTAGCCTTGTAAAAAGAATTAGGATTCTGTAAGTGAAAAACAAACTATTTGAATAGACCAGATTGCTGGTGTTCTAAATTTCTTAGGACTTGGTTATTCTAATTCTAGAGTGCTGAATTTGAGCTAGAGTGCTGGAAAGTAATTTCACTAAAATTATATAAGCTTTGACAATCTTTCCAGGATCTTAGACCATTTTGGAAATTCCAGGGGGTTCTGAAAACAAAGTTATGTTTTGTACAGTACAAAGAATAACCCTTGAAAGAGGCTCCCTGGAAAGATGTTTTCAGTTTTGGTTCTCTTTTTATAAAATGAGGAATAATTCTTTTTCTAGTTTTTAAGTATAATTTTAGGCTCTGAACAAAAAAAATGCCTTGGACATCTAAAGTTAAGCAGTTATTATTCATCAGGGGAATGTCTGTTCACAGATTATAAGGGGATGGTCCTGAGAGTAAGAATGACAGCTATGAAAATGTATGTATAGGTAAATACAACTTTTGGTGTGAATTCAAAGGCAAATAATCAAATGGAGTGATCTGCAAACATAAAACTAGCAAGATTTACTTTGCTTAACAAAACTCAGATCTGGAAACTGAACAGTACAAAATCTAGGTATATTTAAATTCTTAGATTCAATTCTTGAATTTATTTAATTCTTAGTATCAGAATTGAACACAGCTCATATTCCTTTTATGTCAAAATCTACTCCTGTCTTATTTGGGGAATCATTTTGTTGTTACCCTAAACAACCAATTTACTTCATTACATCAATGATGCAACATTACCAATAAATCCAGATGTTTCTTGTGCCCATCTCTGTTTTAAAAATTGTGGTGTCCTGAAAAATTCCCTTCGTGTGGCTATTTTGAAATATTCTTCCTGCTATTCTCTGTGTCTCAAAAATGTGTGTCAGACTTAATATAAAGGAGGATTCTTTCCCCTAATTATTTTGGTTAGCATGCTTTGCAGGGCTATCCAGGTAACCTCTTAGTATTTTTTTTTAAGTAAACTGTATATTTTAAGAGTGAATGTCTACTTTTATCCTCCATAGAGTGTACTGTTTGCTGCAAGTCAACCTGGTCCCATCTCCAGGATCTGTGTCGACTGGAGAAAGTGTGTTGCCCTAACTTGGGCATTACTAAAAAAAACCTCAGTGATTTTGAAGTAGAATATCTATGTGATTATAAGAAAATCCGGGTGAGTTTCTTTGATTTTCTCATAGCTTTAGTCTTGTTTCCTTTTATATGACCTTGCATTAGTCTTCTCCAGTTCTCTGTTGACAGAGTATGTGTATTGATATTTTTCATAATTTATACTTTCCCTCTTTCTACTCTCCCCCTTTTAACCAGTGTTCTTTTCCTTAAGGAATCGGGGTGATAGGATGGGCTGGTGAAAATGCTATGTAATATACCTGGATTATATCCTTGGATTTTGTTTTAGTGAACAAATGCTAAGAAATGTCATTTTCTGAAGTTTGTTCTAGGAAGAAAATTGTAATGTTGTAGACTTACAATCTGTTATTTTACTCAGGATGAGGAATTCTACCTGGTGAAGTGGCGGGGCTATCCTGATTCAGAGAACACCTGGGAGCCCCGAAAGAATTTGCGCTGTATCAGCATACTCAAACAATTCCACAGGGACCTAGAACAGGCATTGATCCGGCGTGGTGGCAAGCTCAAAAAGAATATGCGCTTACTTGACCAAGGAATTTCCAACTATCTGGTTCAGAAGGCCAAACAGAGGCGAGCTTTGCAGCATTGGGAATATGAGCTCAATGCCAAGCGCAACCACAAGGGACGAATTGTGGTAGAAAATGAGGTGGACTTGGATGGGCCTCCCCGGGACTTTGTCTACATCAATGAGTATAAAGTTGGGGAGGGTATCACTCTCAACCAGGTGGCTGTGGGCTGTGAATGCTCAGACTGTCTGTCAGAAGCAGCAGGAGGTTGCTGTCCTGGTGCCTCACATCATAAATTTGCCTATAATGAGTTGGGTCAAGTGAAGATCAAGGCTGGCATGCCCATCTATGAGTGCAATTCTCGTTGCAGCTGTGGCATTGATTGCCCAAATCGTGTAGTACAGAAGGGCATTCGTTATGATCTTTGCATTTTCCGGACAGATAATGGACGTGGCTGGGGTGTACGTACATTGGAGAAGATCCGCAAGCACAGCTTTGTCATGGAATATGTTGGAGAGGTAAGGCTGAGCCAGTGTGATACATAAGCTTCGTTATGATTCAGGACGCAGATGGAACCTGCTCCAAGTTATACCAGATGAAATAGGTAACAGCTGTATAGTTATAATTCTATATCCAAAGCAGACTGGATTCACACATTTGTTTAACAAGCCATAGTGGCCTGGTTCACATATAAGGATAACCTTTTAATTTCAGTTTCACATACATCTGGGGAAAGCTGTCCAATCTCCTTGTAATTTATATGGTTCAGCTAACTGGAAAGAAAAGAAAAATTAATATACAGATCTTGTGTTTGATACTTGTGACCCAGACATTGATTTGGTATACCTACTAGTAAAGTTTCCCCCTAAAGTCTTAGTTCTCTTTCCCATTTTGTGTCACATTATTGCTGTCCATCTGAAAACTGTTGGATCTAAGTCAAGAGAGGGTTTTTCTATTGTCAGGTGTATATATAGAATTTATGTTTCCTTTGTCCATTAGATTGTTGGGTTATGTGCATTTTGTATTTGTATTAGTATAAACTCTTGTAAAATAGTTTAAGGAACATGTCACTGAATGGCATGGTTTTTTTTAATAGGTAAGCTATTACCAACAAAGAAGGCAATATTGAATAAATGTCAACTACTAATCTCAGATATGTTAGCAGTGGAAAGCACACCTGATCATGGTGAGTGCTTCAGTGGTAGTTGGGAGATATTTTGGAGCCTCCTGCTGGACATTTGTGGCATGGAGGAGCTTGAATGGATGAAGCTAGCACAATAAGCCTGGCCAACACAATTGCGTGATAAGTGAATAAATTAATTTCACTTATCACAAAATACAGCTCAAATGAATTCATTCAGTTCATTTGAACTGTAACAATTTGATGATGAAGGTAGAGAATTTATATTCTGTGGGAATTTTGGAGTATTTTCAAGTCTTTGCATTAATCAAAGTGATGACTGAACACAGAACTAAACATTTAGAGTATGTGAGTAGGGCATACTCAGCACAGCAACTGAAGAAAAAATGGAAATCCAAAAATGCAGAGAGGAATAGTCTATGATAAGACTCACAAGCAAAAATAGACTTTTTCCTGTGATTTTTATTTCTTCCACATCATTCCCAGATTATCACATCAGAGGAAGCTGAGCGACGGGGTCAGATCTATGACCGACAAGGTGCCACTTATCTGTTTGACCTGGACTACGTAGAAGATGTATACACAGTAGATGCTGCCTATTACGGCAACATTTCACATTTTGTTAATCACAGTGTAAGTGCAATAAATTATGAGGAGGGAGCCATGTACTCAGTAATGTTCAGTGAAAGATTTGTTTCACTTTCCACTCAACCTGGCATTCTCTGCTTCCAGTGCAATCCCAACCTTCAGGTGTACAATGTTTTTATTGAAAATTTGGATGAACGGCTGCCGCGCATTGCTTTCTTTGCTACTCGATCTATCCGAGTTGGTGAAGAGCTCACCTTTGACTATAATATGCAAGGTAAGAAAGGGCATGCTGGACAAATTTGGTGAGAATTTGAGATAGCTTGTGATTTGCTGTGGTGGACTCGGGGGACAGGGTTTAGACTGAAATTCCTATTTTTAACTATTCTAAATTCTAGTTGGACTTTTTCTTTGCTCTAAAAGATTGTTGCTATGTTACGTGCAAGTTTATTCTGGTTTTGTCTCTTCTTAAAGTGTTGCGTTAAGAGTTAAAGGAACATAATTATTTCAAGTTTAGTCAATGAGCAAATAAGTAGCTTTGTTGTCAAATGAAGGAACATCTCTTGTGAAATTTGATGCTAGATAAATCTCTTCCACAGTGGATCCGGTAAATGCAGAAAGCACAAGGATGGACTCTAATTTTGGCCTAGTTGGAAGCCTGGCTGGCTCACCGAAGAAGCGGATGCGAATTGAGTGTAAATGTGGCACAGAGTCTTGTCGGAAATATCTTTTCTAGTTCCTTGCTAGTTTTTCTTGGACGATGTCTGGTGAAGCCTGGATTGGAAGCCCAAGCTGACTGTTGTTAAAAGATTGCCGGCAGAGGGTAAGAGTCAGGAACTTACCTGCTTGAAAAACAAATGAAAAAGACTAGAACTGCAAGAGGGCAGTTATCCACATTTCTTGTGCTATACAGCACCGACCTGGCTGCTTCTGACTGCCTGACAGAGTATTCTTATGAAAACATGGGTGGAGGGTGGTCTCTTCAGTAGGTGGACAGGTTGCTTGACTTTCAAACTTGCTGCTGAGATGCTGGCTGGAAAAACTACAGCATAGAACAGAACTCCCCTCATAAGTCTGTGCATATCTTATTTGAACCTCAGCGTACTATTTTAAAGCCTTAAGTGCAAGGACAAAGAACTGGCTAATTTTTCAAAGTTTTTTTTCCTGGAGGACAGAAATCTTGATTTTCTATAAGAAGCACTTCCTAACCACCTTACTGGTAGGTGGGGAAACAAAGCCGTTTTCTTCTCCCTGTGCACAGACTTTTTATTACCTCAGTGTGCCATATGACTGCTGTCCATCTTTACATAATTTCTACTTGAAGTCGCACTTAAAAACCATCATGGAGTTAAGCTCTATGCAACCTGAAAAGCCACAATGTCGTCTTTTTTAACTGATGCATTTGTTTTTAAAGAAAATGTTTTTAATTTTTTTTAATGGGTTGGGGCAAAAACTAGCTTCTGGAGATAGCTGTATTTTGAAAGATGTTATGAAGTTCTTGAATTATGACTGATGAACTGAATTAGCTGCCTGGATTCTTTGTGTTTTATAACTTACTCTTTTTTTTTTTTTTTTTACATTTCTTCACTGCAGTAATGTGAAGAGAATGGGGTTTGGAAGCAACTTTAACAGATAAGGGAGATAAATGTAATCAGAGTTTCAGATTCGATTCATTTGCTTTTGGACTTCTTCAGGAGCTTTTATAACTACAAAAGGTAGTATTAATTGTAGAGCAGGAACATTTGTGTGTGGCACAAGGAAGTGAGACTTTAATTTCTCTTGTTATTATAATAAATTATAATAATAGAATGGGAAAGGAAGATTTAGGCCATTGAGTCCAAGGCCCTGCTCAGCCCCAGATCAAAATGAAAGCATCCCTGACAAATATCTAGCCAACCACTGCTTGCATGTATCCAGTGAAAGGGAGTCCGCCATCTCCATTGCGGACATTTCAACTGGAAGATGTATTCAGTAACTTTAGAGCAATTATTTCAGGTCCTTTTCTCTGAGACAACAGAGAACAGGTTACGACCTCCTGTTAGCACACTCCAAATACCAGAAGGGATAACCGTCATAACCCCCTCTCACTTTTCCAAAGCTAAACATACTCGTTCTTTAATCTCTCCATGTATGACTTCATTTCTACTGCCCTGATCATCCTCTTGTCCTTTTTTGCACTTGTTCCAGTTTATCTAAATCCTTTTAAGTGTTGTGCACAGAACAGCACTATTATTTGTGTGATTTGAAAATTATATTCTACTGAAGCAGTTTAAAATTGGTTTGCCTTTTGCAGCCACATTACTGATTGATATCAGGTCCCGTTCCAAGATCCTTTTTGTGCATACTAGTACTAAGCCAGGTATTCCTCATCCTGCTCTTGTGAAAGTTTTCTTAAATAAAGAAATGTTTTTGTATTCTAGAATATTAGCTATCCCACCCAATTTATTATCATTTGCAAACGTGGTGAATGTTCAATCTATCTCTTTGTTCAAAATCATTAACAAAAATGTTAAAAGTGTACTTGGCTCAGGACTTAACTCTGCAGCCCTCTTTGTACTTTACTTCTCATTTCTGGACTAGTTTTTAGGCCCACTGTCAGCCTCCTTAAACATTACACCTAGCCCATACTTAACTAGCTTACTAATGAGAATGTTATATGATAGTTTAAATGCTTTACTGAAATCAAGGTATATGAAATCTTTACCATTCCCATAATCTATAAAGGTATTACTGGATCAAAAAAAAAAAAGTTTAGTCTGACAAGATTTCTTGAAAAATCTGTTCTGCCCTTTGCTGATTACATTAATGTCTAAATTGCTTTTAGGGTTTTGAGGGTTGGTGTTGGCGCTGTTTTTGTTTAAAACCATAGTAAGCTATAGAACTTATGCTTCTTCACCCTGTTAGGAAAAAATTGATGAGCAAATAAAATAGGCTTAAAACTGCTCAAGGTGTATTCCCCTTACAGAAGTAAGGGAAAATAAGAATACTAGGTCTCAATGTTCTTTTGAAACATTTCCATTCAGCATAAAAAGTATGCAAAGAAAAACATTTCAGGGGTACGTATGTACCTTTTTTTCAAACTGAGGGCTGGACTTAGCCTTTTGAGTGGCATGCCAGCTGCATTCCAAAAAGAGTAGCAGAATGTGATTTAAGTATATTTTAATAGTATTTTTTTTACAATTATTAAATATTCAGGTATCATTGTACTATCTGTATCTGAATATACTCATTTTGGTAAGCAGGAGTGGACATCTTTCCTTATTGGGGACCATATTTTTTACTTTAAAAAATATACCTCTGAGGATCATAGTGATGTAGAAATTTCAGCAGAGAAATCAAGGCTGAAATTCTGCACTTCTTGGAGGCAGAGGGAACTGCTTCAAGTAGATGCATTAAGCCTAGAAGAGGTTCAATATATTTGTTTTACAGCTTTAATTCATTAAAAGGAGAAATGCTGAGAAAAACTGATTTTTGTACTGCTGAAATCCAACAACAGTTTTAGAGCTTGGAGACTGCAACAATTAGTCTGGGCAGGCATACCCCCACTTGCCTTGATTATAGCAGCATCATAGTCATTAACACATTTTTGTAGTATATCCAAATTCACAGAAAATAACTATCCTTTTCAAAAAGTGATTCGACCTTACTTAAAATAAACATAGATTTCTATTATCTTGAAAAGTGCATATTAACAGTTGAAGATGATGTACAAAAAGGTAACCAAATAATTAGGAAGTTGGGTACCTCTATTAAAGGAAGGCTAAAGGATATGTAGTGTTTTAAATCTGGGAAAAGTGCAAAACTAGTGCTCTGCAAACATTTTGAATTTGAAATGTTTCATACTTGAGATAGCTATTTGATAGTATTCTGATTGTTCTGCAAATGTTCCAATTTTGAAACACTTCCAGGTTGTTGGAGCAGTGTCAAAAGACTTCTGGTAAGATTGGGATTACCCGTTTAAAATCTGAAATGTTTTGCACACCTGTAATTAGAACTAATAACATTCTGTATGGAATAAAGACACTTGAATAGACAGCCCCCTCTCAGAACTAGAACCATGGGAATCCAGTTAGGACATTTAGGGCAGGTGGTTGGGTTTGTATAACACATAAAATTCTCTTTTCTAGAGTTGTACAATACACTGAATTATAAACTAACCAAATAGGCCGGTTTGGTTAAATATAATTAAGCTTAGCATGTTGTGTGAATGCAGTCATTAGATTTTTACACATATTAAGAATTTACTTCTGCAAGAAGATATGTGAGAGCTACCACCTTATACTACTTTGAATAGGAATTGGGCTCATTGTTGAAGATAAATCACCTTTGGTTATAGCAACGTATGCTATCAACAGACCTTGAGACATTGTTCCTCTGAATACATCCTCTCCAGCAACTAGTGAGATCACTGATTTCATGTTGTCCTTATGGTTTTCTAGGATATATTAAGTACAAAGGATGTTGTACTAATCTGATCCGTTAAGACTGATAAAGTATAGAGTGACTGTCATGGGCTGAACAGTAACTATTCAATACTTCTGAAGCAGTACACCAGACATCTTGATGACCCCCCCCTCCCCAAAAAGCCCCTGTGAAAGATACCAGCTTTTTGTTTAAATAGCGATTTAAATGGTAGACTGCAGTTACAATTTATTAGAAATACAGTTGTATTATGTGTTAGAAAAACATACCTTTACCTAAACATACTTAAGATTTCTGTTTGAAGGTCCCATGCTATTTTACATTCTGTTAACTTTATATTTTTTTCAGCCTAACATAAATTACTTGCTTCTAGAGCTAAACTGTTTTATATATTTCAAACACCATTACCACATAATCTCTTAATCCTCTCAACTGTACTTGCAAATCTTTCAACTCCGCATAATGCTCTGCAACTTCCTTGCTACAAAGATATGACTGGGTTGCATGTCCATGGATACGATCTGCCTAGCTCAATTCATGCTTCTTGATAATATTACCTAATTGTACTACTGTATCTCTCAGTCTGTTCTTCTCTGCCAGGTATCTGTCTGAAAAACTTATTTGGCTAAATACCACCTATTTTTTTCCACTGACAGTGAATTTAGAAAGAATTTCTTCTTGTGCACAGGAGAGAGAACAAAGCCAAAGAAAAATTGTAACAGCCACAATACAAAAAGTTCAATACAACTACCCTCCCTCTTGTATCCCAGTTTCATGCATGCTATGAAAGATGTGACAAAAATGCATTTTGCAATTTAAGTAGACCCGTTTCAGAACTTCATTTCTAAGAAAACGTGTTTCTGCAGCTAGGCATCAGGAATACGCTAACTATTTTGGTAGACTCCAGGCACGTTACTAGTAATGTGGAAATAAATGTGAAATTAAATACTCTGTTCATATCTGTGGCTTTCATACACTAATGCTGTATTAGGAAGATACTTAGTCAACTTGCTCTTGAGAAACATGCTAAAGCAAATATCCTACTATATAAATGAACAAGTCATTCTAATATATTAAAGAGCAGTCTGTGCACAAATTTAAAGCTGCAGAAGTTCACAAATTCAATTAACAACATAGGTTGATCCTTCTTAATAGAGGCAGGAGGTATTTTTCCTCATCTTTGATGTCCTGTGTGTTACATTATAGTGAGCATGGTATTGTAACCCATGCTGTGTAAAATATATTTCCGGAAGGGAATGGATCACTGTTCATATACCAAAGCAGTTTCATGCTATCTAGGAAAAGGCTGGTATTAAATGGGACAAACGAAATTAGGTTTCATATTCTTGAATTAGAAAAGAACCCTTGAAGTCCTAAACCTTATTATACCAATTGATAAGCAGTTCCTGTAGCACAGTTGGCCACATTCGCTTTCAGCAAATGGTCCTGGCAAAAGAATAGTGTAATCTGGATGGTAAAAGTCCATTAAGCCACATTTCACAGGATAAGTGGAATCCTTTGCATGCTATACAAAATCTCACCAACTGAAAAGGACAAAAGCAGTGGTCCCACTGTATTATGAAAGTATGTTCAGTATGTTCCAGACTGAAGAAGATATAAACCAACAATCGGAAGAAAAATGGGATCTTTTAATCCTCCTTCAGGACTCCCATCCTCATAGCTGTGTCTTGTACGTATTCTTCCTTGCACTTGTCACAGGAAAATACGCTATTTCTGTTCTCTTTTCCAGACAATAACCATGCCTTTGGCATCACTGGATGCCAAGAGACTCTCATCACAGTTAAAGCTGACATCCAAGACTGCAGCGCTATGACCTTGAAGTTTGTTAACGATAGCCTTGGTGGCACGTTCCACATCAAAGAAATACACACACATATCTTCACTTCCAGTCACTGAAATGCACAAAAATAAATTATTAGAACAAAACCATTATTAAATATAGGTCCTTAATAAAGGAGGGGTCTGCAATTCTATTTTATTCCTTCTAACCCTGTGTTAGTTATAGGGGAAATCATGTGAAATGGGAAAATTAAAAGCACGGAACTATACAACATTGCAGAGAACTGGCTCTGCTACATTCTTTTTCCAATTACAGAATGGCCCTACCAACACATACCAACACAAGCGCCTTGACGGAAAGACATTAGGGGGCAGAAAATGCTGTGGACAGGATGTGAGCTCTGCTGTATTTGGAAACTTCTCTTAAGTTGCAGTGTTCCTTCATTATCCACTACCCTGTCAGGAAGAGTAAAAGGAACCATGTAAGCATAAATATATATCACCGTCAAATGGGAGGTCATTAATATTCTGCATATGCAAATAAAGTGCATGTCTTTTGGTGCA